GAGTGTTCGATTTTAGAATTATAGAACTTACATTGTAAAAGTATGTGATATTTTTATTTGTACAGATCCTTGATCTTTATCTTGATCCTTTAGTCAGGTAAATCATGCAAATGATATACAATGCAGTATTTGCTCTGCATGATATATATATATATATATATATATATATATCATTTCAAATCATTGCTGCATATTTTAGATAATATTCCCAAGAAAACATGAAGCAATTAATTCATATGAAATCACTGGTAACACGTTAGATTGTAGTGTCTACGTATTAAATATAACAAAATACAACTGAACCAATACCAAAACAGTATAATAAATAGTATTAATACTAAAAAGGTTAATTCACAAGCATATTATGTATTAATATTAATTCAGTACTTAACTATAATATAAACTGTTATCAATTCTTTTTGTTTTATTTAATCTCCCTGTCACTTTTTGGTGCATATTAGACTATTTGATTACATGAAAGGGCTGCAAAAAAAATAATAAAAAAAATTACAAGCTGTCACTGGGGCGTTATCTTAAAAAAAAAAATTACAGCTTTGTCCCTTATTTATCCCGAAAGGGTGCATTTAAGTATGTGACTAATATGTACCTTTAACTAATAACTAATATATACCTTTAAATGTACATATTGGTATGGTACATATAACATATTTGTACCTTTTGAAAAGGTGGTACTGCCCCAGTGACAGCTTTCATACCTTTTGTACCTTTTTTTCTGAGAGTGCAGTTAAATACTTTAGGCTCAATAACAACAGCACACCCTTTGATTAATGCATTTGCTTTGTATCAGATCTGAGACAGATTGTGCTATTGCTGATGTTGAAGCTACACCCTAAAAAAATACCATGCTTATCTATTCTTTGCAGAGTCTAATTTGCTAAATTGATGAAACTAGATATGCACCGATCGATCGGCCAGGGATCGGAATCGGCCGATTTTCCTCATGATCGGCCGATCAGTCTCACTTCTTTCCGATTCCGAGCCGATCCGTTTTGTTACCAGCGGCACAGGAATTAACATCAGCTGCGCATTCTTGCTCTCTTCTCTCCGACGACCCCTTCTCTCTCACACACGTCTCATTTGCTCCGGTTAAATGCTTGTATTGCGCATTATTTTAGTCATTCCCGCAGGTTTCGCGCTTACACCAAATACCAAACATGGGCCTGTTTACACCTGGTCACTTCATGCATTTTTTTTCTGATCGGATAGCTATCCGATCATGTAAAGACCAGGTGTAAATGCCCTCCGAAATGCATTCGAGATGGATATAAATCCGATCGCTCAAACCACTTCAGGAGGTGGTCTGGGCCGCATTCCAGACGAAACTCGACAAGTGTAAATGCATCTGGTTGTTGAAACTGGTTGTTGCTGATGCACTGGAAAGATAAGTTTGATGCAAAAGATAACACTGGATGCGTTATTTTACATTTGATTACTTTAATTTCTGTAGTATTTCTTACCTGAATAAAAACTTACTTAACCTGAAAAACTTAGTTTCATAGCTCTCTTTATTCTATTGCATTTATTTGTGCTGTTGTTTGCAATTTTTTATTTGTTCTTATTTTATTTGATCTTTTATTTTAAAAACTGACTTTTTACTTGTGTTTTTTTTATGAAAATAAAACTCTGCGTTGAAGAAAAGTAGATTTTTGTTTGTATATGCTGTCAATTATAGTTCTTAGAAAGAAAATCGGAATCGGCAAAAATCGGTATCGGCAGATCACACTAACAAAAAAAATCGGAATCGGCCAAGAAAATTGCAATCGGTGCATCTCTAGATGAAACATTTGCTACTTTTAAAACAAAAACATGAGATACCATTGTTTTGCCCTAATGAACATTAACAACTAATTTTTATTAGGGCAGATTTTCTTACAGTAAAACAAACACGCTTTAAGGAAAAAAAGAAGATCAAACTTGGACAGAGATTATTGTCTACCGATTTTGCTCATAACATTAAAATAACAGATCCCCGTAAGTCTGTTGTTAGTAATCACCCAAACCAGCAGGTTAAAAGTTTACACTTGTGCTTTCACTAAAATATCTGGATCAGTTGGAATAGTTCTGACGTCTAAAAGTCTATATCTACAGGCTATATATAAAAAAACATTACTGTATGTATGTACTTTATGACTAATCTGTGATTCAGTGTCAATAATTCCCTCTGTTTGTCAATCTGCTATAGTCAGTCACATTCCTGAACTAGATGGAAAAAAGGTGTATGAGATTGTTCAACCAATCAGATTGCATGCACTACAAAAAAGAGACTTAAATGTGAGTTCTCATCAACCCACCTCTAAATTCCATGTTTAAATATTTTAATCAAACTAAATTTGATTTATTTTCATCCCCTGCAGTCAAGACCTGACACAGTGAAATACGCTATGACACTGGGAGGTAGAGACATTGAAATGCACCTCCAGAAAAATGAGTAAGCCTGTCTCCCCAGTTACTCCTTTGTCATCATTTTTGTATATCCGCTTGTTGTCATTTAAAAAAGTTCCTCATTGTCAAAGTCGAACATATGTATGTCATTTTAAAACTGCAGTTCCCACGTTACAAATTGCGATTTGTCCATTAATGAGCCATTTGTTACTGATCTGAGAAATGTGTGTTGGTCAACAGTGGCCTACTGACGAAAGACTATAGCGAAACTTATTACACTGAAGATGGGATGCTTGTCACAACCACACCTGAGGATCTGGTATACTACAACCAGTATTACTAATATATGACATACATAACATATAATCCATAGAGTGAGAGATTTATTTAATACTCTTTTTCTTCCATAGGACTTATGCTATTATCATGGGAAAATAGTCAATGACAGCAAGTCATTGGTTAGCATGAGCACCTGTGATGGATTACGGTAGGGAAACAATTTTAAAAGACATTTCTTTTGAACTTTTACAATCTCATATTAACTTGCTTTAACAAAAGTACACATATACATCTTTAAAACGCTTCTTTCTACAATCTCTACTGCTATTATTATGACTGTATTCAGTCAGTTTGTTGCCTCAAGCACGTTCTTCGCTTTTCTGCAATGAACGGAAGTTACAGCATGACTTGCATTTCCTACTTAGATAAATGAGACACGCAAATTACACATGGTTTCCCAAGCACCCCTGATTAAGTCACATCTTGTGCCAATTGCTTTGATTTCCACAGGCTTACTACTCTCTGTAACCAGGCCAAAAGTCCCTACAAAAGACATACAAAGGACATTGTGCCCATTATGTGTCTATTGTCTTCACAGAGGCTATTTCCAAACAGAGGAGCAGAGGTTTCTGATCGAGCCGTTGTCCGAGGATGGTGATGGTGACCATGCTGTCTTTAAGAACGAAGATGTAAATGAAGAGATGGCTAGAGTGTGTGGAGTCACCAACACTACTTGGGACGAGAGTGAGGAAGGCGCTCCTCCACGCATTCTCAAAAGTCGTTCTCGTTCCTCAGTAAGACGGTCTATTCAGTTACTTTAGCACTGCAAAAAGCAGCAAAGCAAAGTTAAAGTTTCACAAGGATAACCCACATTCAGACGGGTCATGTGATAAAGTCTTATTCGTTGTTCTGCAATGTTAAGGTGACGATCGCAATAAATTGCAGAAGTCTGCAGTGCAAAAAAATTTCCAGATTAACCTAATATTGTACAGTACATGCACTAAAGTATGGTAGTTCTTTTTTGTTTTGTCACTGAAATAATTATTCTGTTCTCTATTTTCCATCTATTTGCTTCTTCTTGATCAGGGGCCAACTTTGTTCCAGCAACAAAAATACATCGAGCTCTTCCTTGTGGCAGACAACAGCGAAGTAAGAGCTGGAATAAATGCACCTTGATGAAGAATAACCAATCTAAAAATTATTCACAGATAAAGTTTTTTTTATTTATTCATTTTTGGGGCCTCAGTGACTATCAGATGATGTAGGAGTTCTAATACAAACAAACAAAAAAAATCCCTGGCTTAAAGTAACATACGTGGTATTTTGTGCTTTTTCAGCATTGTGGTTTTAATAGAATCAAACTGTTTCTACATTTGTCACAGTGCATTTAAAAACACTGATGCTAACAGATTTCAGAAAGTGTATCCTTATAGAAGTGTGATTGAGTGACGAAATGCTTGGATTCATCATTCAATTTTTTGTTCCCCCTCAGTACAAGAAAATGGACAGCGATCTTCAGAAGTTGAGAAAGAGGATATTTGAGATCATCAATTACATTAATAATGTGAGTCACTGATATGTTATCAAAACATTCCAGCATGCCAACATTTATGGATCATCATACAGGATATTGCAACTAAAACCTGTGATAACAAGGATTCTTGAATGTGATAATCACATGACTAGATACAGATCTTTGCCATCTACAGATCTTCTGATGAGTACTGGTTTAGTACTTTAGTTAAAACCATTTATAGTGTTGCACTAGTACAAAACGTATAAAGAGTGGAGTCCAAATATCTAAAAACCTGAGATTTAAACTCCATTTAAAAGCTTGTTTCAAAAGTGGCATAATGGCATAAAATGAGTAAGAAATATTTAAGATTATGCACTTCTAGGTTCTAGATTTATCACATTTTTGACAAGGTCTATGGCGTCCTTGCTTCCACTGAAGCACAAAAGATGCAAATCATGCAGGATAACATGGCTCAAAGTTTCCCATAAGCTTGTGAGTCAATGTCAGTATTTTGCAAACAAAATACTAATTGTAACAACTTGTGATGAATAGCGTATTGTTGATTTTTTTAATAATACAATTTGTCATTTAAAAAGATATGTAATCAGAAAAAGAAATCTCTAATGGTTTCAGACTTTTGGACCCCACTGTGCACAATATACAATAACATACAATTATCTTCTTTCACTCTGGTGTGCAGGTATATAAAGAAATCAACACATTCATTGCTCTGACTGGATTTGAAGTCTGGACAGATAATGATAAGATAACAGTTTCTCCTGTTGCTGGAGCTACCTTGGACAGCTTTACCCAGTGGAGGAACAACGATCTCATCAAAAGACAGCAGCACGACAACGCCCACCTCCTTAGGTCAGCTCTCATGTGGGGAAAATACAATATTGTTAATCAGATCAGCTCAGAACTTCTCCAATACTTTGTCTGCTTCAAGCTGTGCTATTGTGTTCTACTTTGAAATGGTTTAAAAACTGAAACCGAAAGAAGACACACTTTAACCACTAACTAAATGTAATCCAGCAGGATCAGTTGAATTTGGATTAAACATTGATTTTTTGTCCTTCTCTCAGTGCAATCAACCTTGATGGAGCAACTGTGGGTCTAGCTTACATTGGAACTCTGTGTGGAGGTCTTTCAACAGGGATTGTGCAGGTACTAATATTCGCTCATAACAAGTCACAAACATATTTGCCAAAAATATGTAATGAAACTTGCAGTCATGAAAATAAATACATAATTTGATAGGATTACAATAAAAAAGGGGATATATGTAGATGTATGCAGATGGATTTAGGGTGTTTTATTAATTAATTCATCAAATGCAGTAATATTACGAACAAATACATTTGCATGTTTTTTAAAGAGAATAAAACATTTTCTACCACATGGTCTTGATGTAGCGTATCACTTTTTGTTGCAATGCCTTTTTCTTTACTTTGTGCCAAATTAATCTTAATACTTCATCATAATATAGACTAAATTAACATTTCAATGAAAAATCTCTGTTTTCGTCAATGCTAAGCCTGGACCTAACTGTTTATTCCTCTTCAAAGGATCACAACTCTAAGGCTATAGCAGTGGGGGCTACTATGGCCCATGAGATGGGGCACAATCTGGGCATGAGTCACGACAGCAGCAGCTGCGTTTGTTCTGATGGCACATGCATTATGACAGCTGCTCTCAGGTACTTACTGTGTACCAGTTGAACTTCATTAGCTTAGTATTTTTTTGTAATGTTTACTGTAATGTTTTATTTTGAAATTTATGGAGAGTCAAAACAAAAGGTCTGAGCAAATAATATCACTGCTCCATATCTCTGCAGCTATTTCATCCCTCAACACTTCAGCAGCTGCAGTAGTAGTAGCTATGTAGACTACCTGAACAGCAAAAACCCAGAATGTCTTATGAATATGCCCAAACCAAAAGAATTGATTCAGCCACCTGTATGTGGAAATGGATTTGTGGAGATAGGAGAACAATGTGACTGTGGAACAGTGCAGGTAAGCGGACTAGGGTTTCTTAAATGTCTGAAAAATGTCAACAGATTTATTTCAAGTAAGTTACTCAAAACATCAAAGAAAAGTACCAAACAAACTTATTTGTTGAAAGGTACTGAAAAATGTAAATTTAGGCCATGTCCACACGTACATGGGTATTTTTATAAACGGAGTTCCTCCTCCTTCCGTTTAAAAAAAAATCTCCGTCCACATGAAAACGCAAAAGCATGCTATGAAGCACTGTCAAGAGCATGCCAAGCCAACAGGTGGCGATATAATCTCAACCGTAAAGCCATGTTGGTCAATCAGAAGCCTGAAAAAGTTTCCAGTAGGCGGAGCTAATAGCGCATGCTCCGACGTCACAAGCCAAAATCTCCGGTTTCACTGTCTACACGATAACACTGCAACCAGAGTTTTTGAAAATCTTCACCCTGGCAGGAGTTTTCAAAAATGTTTGGTTTCAGTGACCTGGTGCTGCGTTTGTGTGGACGAACGGCCAAACCCCATAGAAAAAGCTGCGGTTTTGAAAATACACGTTCGTGTGGACAGGGCCTTAGAATGACATGGGAAGACCCTAAAATTTAAATGTATACTCAACAAGTCACATCTATATACTATCAGAAGCAAGATAATGTCAAGACATGCACAGACAATTCTCAACAGGAATGTTTTCCAGTAGGCTATACTCTACATTTGACAATGAATCACTAAAGTAGTGTTGTGTTTGGTGTGCCTATGGGAGGAGATGGGATTGCCAATCTCCCATATTATCTTTCGCGGCAGTGTGAAAATAAGATGATGGAATGCATGTATTAATTACTGCAAATCTGTTTATACATGCACTACATTAGTCATCTCTTCTTTTTGGCCAGAAATTGTGTAGGATGGACAGCATACTTTTACTGGATGTTCATTTATTCATTGTTTGCCATGTAAATTACTTTCCATGAGCTTTTCTAGATTCTCAGAACTAGTACTTAAAATACAATTTATTATGTGCCCAGAGCAAACACACCTAAAATGCTAAGACATCTTAAGACATACTCATTGTCTTTATTTCACAACCTATAGGAGTGTACAAACCCATGCTGCAATGCCACCACCTGCAAACTGACAGAGGGTTCACAATGTGCAACAGGGGAATGTTGTGAGAATTGTAAGGTAAGATTCAAAGAGTTGGGGGCATTTTGCCGTAACATTCATCAAATCAATAAAGTATCAGATTAACACAGCTGCTTTAGTGCGTTTGGTAGCAGCATACACTCAAGCTCTATACGTTTTAACAATTCTTTAACTGCTAAAGAAGGCCCATATATTTGGCAAAATCTTTATCACTAATAAATCGCTTTCATGATCAGCCCGGGTGCCGCTGAACCAATGCCTTTCTTTGTGTAAATGGAATATGTGCAACTCTCTGGTTCTTGGAGCACAACAAAAGATTGTCTCTCTCAACGTTACTTCATAGATAGTGGTTTTGAATTTCGCTCTCCTGCATCAGGCAGTGATTGGAGGAAAATTAATCGAGGGGCGTTCCCCTCATGAATAATGAATAGAATCAAATGACGCTTCTCCGCGGGTTTTCGTACCAATCACATTTCAAACTTTTTAAACCGGATGAAACAAAATAGTTCAAAATATAACATTAATATTACAAGAAATACATTCAAAATAATGTGTCATTGTTTTCAATAATTTGAAATGTCAACATCTCAAAAAAGGTTTCATTCATTTATAGGCCTGGCCTACTTTCATTCATTTATAGGCCAATACCAATATGTTTTTCCTCCTCCCCATCAGATCAGGTCAGCCGCACATGTGTGTCGTCCAAAAAATGATGACTGTGATTTGCCAGAGTCATGCACTGGAAAATCAGCCGAGTGTCCTGAAGACGTCTTTACAGTCAATGGACTCCCTTGCAAGAATGGAAAAGGCTATTGCTACAATGGCCAGTGCCCACAGAGAGAGGAGCAGTGCATTAAAATGTGGGGTCCAAGTGAGTACAGTATTGATGCAACACAATAGTGAAAAAGTTGTGTTGAGCCCCATATGACTGTGCTAATTTTTCTTTTTATTCAAATAAATCAAGCTGCTGTGGTGGCTCGAGACTATTGCTACAACCAGAACACAAGAGCGGAATACTTCGCCTACTGCAAACGCAATGGCAATAAATATATTGGATGCCAAAGACAGTAAGATTTTACATTTATCAGTCCATCCATTAATCCCTTAACATATCCCTTCACTGTCTGATCAAACACCAAACTTTTTTGTCTATCTGCAGAGATGTGATGTGTGGAAAACTGTTCTGCGAAGATGGCAATGCAAATCCCAATTATGGACGGCTAGTAAAATTCAACAATTGTAAAGCCACATTCTACAGCGATCCTGAAAAAGATTATGGTCAAGTCGACACAGGCACCAAATGTGGGGAAGGACTGGTAAGACTGGTCTCTAGATACATGCCAGTTATTCCCAAACTTCCTTGTAGCTCAATAACAATTAACTCCTTCAATCACCTCTAATAAAAGAAACTTTATAGGTTTGCTATCAGGAAGCATTATAATTTGACACTAATGATGTGTTTGTTTTCTCAGGTTTGTAACCAGAATGAGTGTGTTGACCTAGAGACGGCTTACAAAGCAACAAACTGCTCCGCCAAGTGCAGAGGCCATGCGGTATGACCCAAAATATGCCTTTCTCGAACACTAACTTCTCGTTTCCTCATAAAATGAAACAAATAGATTAGATTAGATAAACCTTTATTCGTCCTACAATGGGGACATTTCCATGTTATGCTTTTTGACTATTTCAGGTCTTAATATAATATTCTTTCATAAGTTATACATACTGTACAACTTGTTTTAGAAGAATTCATGTAAGTGTATATGCTACAGGTTTGTGACCACAGAAAGGAGTGCAGATGTGAAACTGGATGGCTGCCTCCAGATTGTGAAACACCAGCAGAAAGTGAAGGTTCTTCTAAAGGTATACAACAGACACTGTATTCAAAATAGCCTCATATTCTTTTTGTTTGGAGGATCACAAATAAGAGTTTTTTGCCTCTTTGCATTTCTAGCGGTGACAATAGCCATTGTCATGGTTGTCTGCATCCTGATTGGGATACTTCTAATTGGACTGGCCGTCTTCTTTTACAAGCGCAGAAAGAGCACGCCACATTCATTCGGGTAAGAGTATAGGAAACCAACACTTAAACACTGGAGGAAGTCAATAAATCAAGTGCATTTAATGCTGCTGTTTTCTTAATAGCCATCCAAGGCAGCAGAAAGTTCATGTAGTCGACATCCCTGACTACAGCCACCAGTCGACACCAAATCAGAAGCCGTCTCTGGTAACTTGCAGTCACATCTGATGAAATTTCATCATCTCATTTAACAACAAGCACAATCTATACCAAATGAAAGCATTATCAGGACTTTGTGATCTCTTGTTTATTCTATAGGTTATAAGGCCTACAGCACCTCCTCCACCTCCACCCTCTTCAGTTCAATCCAGAGTTCTGCATAATGACTACCTAAATGCGCGACAGGTAGCAAAGCTAACTCTACATAATGTGTAATGACTGATGTTTACATCAGTATTTAAAGGAATAGTAGTTAATCAACCTAAAATGAAAAGTCCTAATGTTGTTTTAAACCAATTATGACTTACTGTCTTCTGTGGAACCCATACGTTTTACATACAACAGAAGTAGAGGGAGATCAGGGACTGTCAAGTGCCAAAATGATGAAAAAGCTTTGCAAAAGTACCAGTAATCCATGTGACTTGTGTAATATTCAACGTCCACTGAAGAAATGTTGAAATAGTGATATATTATTTACAGTGCAACACTGTAATTTATTGACTGAAAATGTGGCCTTAAAAGTTTGCTAAACAGCCTTGGTCACCATACAGTGTATTTAATTTTGCTATAAAAACAAGGAAGAATTTGGGTGCACTATACCTTTATGCTTCCAGTCCGAGGCTAAGAAAATTTGGATGAAATGATAGAGAGACTATATTTGACAAACTTGCATTTATTCATTTAGAATCCACATTTATTTAAAAGAAAAAAGAGAATACATTATAATTACTTTAGAAACATAAGAGATATTTTTCTGACTATTTAGAGCCTTGTTAATTCTCTCCCTCGCAGGCCCTTAGACCACCTCCTCCAAGGGTGTGATGTCTAGCACCTGTCAAACCTCAAGAAGTGGAACCAGCACACTCCAGACCCTGCAGATCGGATGTGTTACGAGCCTGAGGCTTGCTAAACTCTTCAAGAGAAGACAAATGTCTGTAAAAATAAGCCACATGCATGAGACCAACACACCTAAATGAATTTTACAGCGTGTAAAAGATTGTCCTTGACTGACATGATGAATTTTAAGTCACGTTTTGTTTTTAACCGAAAGAGATTTTTAAATTTCACTTTATTTATTTGTACAGTCTGTTCCTGTATAATTGAGCCTGCCTTCTGTATAGTACTGATTTTAAGTCAGTAAAAATAGCCGACTCACTTCCACAGAAAGTTCACATTAGAGTTGACTTTCTAAAGTTTATTAAAT